TGGACAGGTTTTATGCAAGAAGGAATATGTCTCGCTGATGCATGATAGTACCTGTTTGACTAATGCAGGCACTGAGACCAGGCCTCTAAGAGTAATTTTTCAAATGAAATGAAGCCTGTTTATTAGTCTTGCCAGTATTCTTCTGATCTGTTGTTTAACACCAGCCAGATGATGTAATCTATCCCTTTCTTGTGTAAGTGGATGTTTTTCAAACATAGCACTAACGGTTCAGATGGGTTAGGAAGAATGAGGCTACTGGCTGAGTTTTAATTATAGCACAAGCTAGAGAAGTGTTATGACAATGAGGAATATATCCCTTTTTAAAAAAATATTTCTAAGGATTTGGAAACATGCATCTTTAAGAAAGACACTACTGGACTCAGGAGGAACCACATGAATGGGAGACTGAAAGGCGTGGACATCTGAAGTAGCTTCACTTTTCCTTTGAAGACACAAAATTACCTGGCCTATGAAAATGGAGGCCTAGTGACTTATTCCTTAACAGATCTCAAAACCTGAAGGTGACGTACATGGAAGAATATTACTAGTAATTTCTTAAGTCTTAAGTGTCAATATTCAAAGGAGATGTGGATGCCATGTCTCATAGGTGTCTGAATTTGGAATTCTTCATTTTCCACAAAGGAAGGCAATCACTTGGCTATGTTCAGAGCCATTTTACAAAGAAGAACATTTTTTTTTTTGGTGGTACTAGGGTTTGAATTCAGGGTCTCATGCTTGCGAAGCAGGTGCTCTACCACTTGAGCCATGCTCCATCTCCAAAAGGAATTTATATTCATTTTGATATTCTCTCTACTCTATCACCCCTTAAAATAATTATAGAGTTCAGGACAAGGCAAACACTGTATTATTATTGTTATTATCAATTTTGGATTAATGTTGTTAACTATCTTTGGAGAGGCTTGAATTTTAGCATTGAAATATAAATTTTTGGATGGAGGGACAATGGTTTGGGAAACCAAAGCCTATTTGGAAATTTATTCATTGATAGCATGGAAGTGTAAGCTACATGTTAGCTAATTTAGCTCGGACTTCTCATTTCTAAACACAAGGACACTGCAACACCTTTACTTTTTAAAAACTAAAGCAAGGTCACATTGTGTATATAGTACAACCATTTTTGGATGCAAGTAACAGAAAACCTGCTTTGTTGCAAAGTGATCTAAATGGCAATTCAATTTATCTTACCAATAAGAAGGACAGATACAGAGTGAGTTAGTCTGTGAGTGGGTGGCTTAAACAACAGAAATTTATTGTCTCAGAGTTCTGGAAACTCAAAGTCTAAGATGAAGGTCCAGCAGGGTTGGATTCTCCTCAGGACTCTTCTTGACTTGCAGATGGTTGCCTTCTCATTGTCTGCTAAGGCAGACTCACTTTTTAGAGTCTCTGCCCAATCAGTCTTATATTTAGATTTTTCTAGAGTAGTACCCCTTACTCCAGAAACTGTGCATTTACCCCTCCATCTTATCGTTCCATGTTTACTAGCTTAGACATCCTCAATGCATTCACCTCAGCTGCAACAAGTTATCCAGGAGAAAAATATTTTACGCTATTCTATCATCTATCTATCTATCTATCTATCTATCTATCTATCTATCTATCTATCTATCCATCTTCTATCCAAAGATAAAGGAGCACTGACTACACCTAGGGATGAAATATAATGCCAAGAAAGAGAACTATTGCCTCACCCACAGCTGAGATCCAGCTCTTGTAGGTCACTGGATGGCAGAGGAGTTGCTATAGTGCTGCCCTATCAGAACTTGTTGAAAATCCTCCTTCTAGAAACTTTCTGGAGATCAATGCTCTTTAAGGGGCTGGAGAAGCTTTGATGGGCAGGGGTCCCACTAGCAGTAGTCTGTCTGCCATGGAACTACACAAGGAGGCTGTGGGTGAAGCTGCTGGGTATTGCTGACCTCTGTGCATCCTGGGATGTTGCATCTTGGACTTTGAGTATCCAAAACTCTGAGACAATGAACTTCTGTTGCTTAAGCCACCCAGTCTGTAGTATTTTTGTCCTACCAAACAGATGCTGAGGAAGCCATCTGTGCTACAGGAGTCTAGTGCCTGACAGTTATGTCCACTTTAGGAGTTTGATGTTAAGAAGTTTCTACTGGAGCCTGAAGGTAGAAGCACACTGAAACTAGAAAGAAGGCCCTTTCTTTTTCTGTGTCACTCTAGTGCCCTCATGATAGGCTTAACATTTGACTGGTAGACAAAAATATTTAAAGAACTCAGTTATGTTTTCACGGAGCAGCCAAAAAAGGGTGATTTTAGGGCTGAAAGGCAATAAGCTGATAACTTGCATCAGGTTTTGTTTATAAAATACTCATATGAGTATATATGTGATATCAGTGATTTTCATTATACAGTGGATATTTTATTTGAATCTTGTCAGTTACTCTGGATCATTGCAAGGACAGAGATTTGTTTTCTAACTTATGAATCCTAGTGCTTACCAGAAGATTCCGTTGCCTATTTTTACTATATGTTTTCTAAGTGTTAAAATACAACAATCTAAGTAGGTAGTGTAGCTCAGTGGTTGAGCAGACTCTGAGGCAGACAACTTAGTTTTTAATATGATTCTGCCACTTATTGGCTTTGTCACCTTGAGCAGTTATTCCTTTTTCTCAGCCTCAGTTTTCTCAACTATAAAATGGGAAGAACAATAGTATAGGTGATGCCACCATGCCTGGCTATTTTATATTGGCTTATTATGAAGATTAAATAAATACAAGTATCTCTCAGATGTTTATTTCTGAAAATCAGATTTCTGGATTAAAAACCTGGACTCATATCATTTATATTATGTTAATTATGTTATTTATTTAGTGACAGGGTCTTGTTATATAGCCAAATCTGGCCTCAGACTCTTGGGCTTTTTGCCTGAGTCTCCTGAGTAGTGGGATCACGGATGTGTGCCATCACCTCTAGCCGTTTTATATCATTTTAAAGAAGAAAAATCTGAATGTGTGATCATCTCCCCTAATCAATTTCTTAAATTGCAATAATTCTTACATATAAACTGTTATATTATGATGTAAAATGCTCAAAATGTCATTTCCTGATCACTAAATAGTATTAGCATGTTACTGCAGAACCGTCATATTTCATATGCAGGATATCTTTTCCATGGAACCATTGGAATTGTTTTTCTCACTTGCTTTGCTTCCTTCTCTACAATTTACTTTAAGGCTTTCCCAACTTTGTTTGGGATCCCTTGTACTATACTAGGTTAAAAAGGGGGCTAAACATAAAAGACATCAGGAGTCAGGCACAGGGCCAATGCCAGGACTACTGACAACATGACAGAGCAGCATGGTGACAGCTTCTGGGTATCAGCACTATCCTAAGTGGATGCACCCCCTTTTTATTTTTTTGACAATAGTTACACTTTTCAAACTATTGTGCTGGCCATTTGCCAGTGACTCATGCCTCTAATCCCATCAATTTAGGAGGCAAAGATTGGGAGGATCATGGTTCAAGGCCAATCATGGAAAACAGTTTGTGAGACCCCCTAACTTCAAAATAATCACAGCAATAATAATGGACTGGAGATGTGACTCAAGCAGTAGAGTACCTGCTTTGTAAGTATGATATCCTGAGTTCAAACCCCAGTCCTATCAAAAAACAAAACAAAAAACCATTGTGCTGGAATCTGATCTTTTATCAATGGTATTTTGAATGTCCTTTTTCCTGCACTGTTTTGTTTTGAAAAAGTATTGAGTTTTTAAGAGGTAAAATATCTTTATTTCCCATATATATGTAGTTTTGGGTGTTAAAAACCAAGAATTTCTACTCAGAAAACACTAAGTTTAGGAAAGCCGTTAGAACATGCTTGACCTATAAAACACAAGGTAAAAGTATGCCTTATTTTTGGATTGAGTCGTTAACTGTGTCAGTAGTTGTATTCTGCCATTCATTCGTCTATTCCAAAAATGTTTTTTTGAGGTCCTATGTTAGGGCAAGTCCCATTGCAGATACAGTGGTAAATGAGATATGGTCCCTACCAACGAGGAACCAACATTTGAGGGGTAAATAGAGGCAGACTGTGGTGGCTGCTTGGAAGGAAGATGAGGCCATAAAGGCGATGGAGGCTGGCCTCTGATGGAGGCTGGTGGTGACGGAGGCTGCACCCTGCTGCACCGTAGGCCAGGCCCTGCCTGGTGGGTGGTGTTGTTGGATACTTGGGATCCAGCGTTAGGAAGTTGAGACTCTATTCAATTTGCAATGGGAAATCACTTGAAAGTAGTTAACCAGAGGGAGACAATCTGATCAGATTTCAAAAGGATCATTTTTAGCTGGCGCTGGTGGGTCACGCCTATAATCCTAGCTACTTGGAAGGCTGAGATGAGGAGGATTGTGGTTTGGCACCAACCCGGGCAAGTAGTTCCAGAGACCCCCCCCATCTCCAAAATATCCAGACCAAAATGTACTGGAGGTGCCGTTCAAGCGGTAGAGCGCCTGCTTTGCAAGCGCAAGGCCCTGAGTTCAAACTCAGTACCACCACCAAAAAAAAAAAAAAAAATCTTAATGACTGGAAGAAGGTAGGATGGCATTCTATCTAATTTTCCATCTCGAGCTCATTTACCCCTCTTCTCAGCTGCAGGCGCATTCAGTTCAGAGGGCACTTAAGAAACCAGCGAGAAAGACTCCAACCCCACCCCAAGAACTAAGGCAGCAGAGGAAAGCGGCCTTAGGAAGCAAAGAATGTGAATGGACCCGGCTGGGATCGATGGGGACGGCGAACCAGGACAAGGGCGAGCTGGCAGAGGAATCGGCTGAGACCATCCATAGCCTACTTCATATGAAGACAACTGAGGATTCAGAGGTCTCTCCATCTACATTCTTAGGCTCCTACCCCGAAACTTCAGGCAGCACCATAGTGTCCCAGGACCTTGCATCGCCGGAACTAGAGGCGGAAGTTCCTTTCGTTGCCACCCGGCGCAACTCTGAGGTGACGCTTCCGGCGGGGGAAAAAAAATGGCTGCGGCCGTTCAGCACTCACGTGTGAACGCTGGGAAAACATGAAACGTTTCCTGAAGAAGAAAAAGAAGATGAGGATGGTAGCCAGGACTGTCGCGTCAGAGCTGGAGGAGGAGGTCAAAACCGCTTCCGACAGCGAAGGTAATGTATGGGAACCGAACTTTGGCGGCTTGAGTAGAAAGCCCTGGCTGAGTTCCCGAAACGCTGGGGCTGCCGGCGTTTTATCTCAGCCTGCGGTCGGGAGGGCGACTTTGTCCCTGTGAGGCGGCTTGTGAAAGTGGTGTTTAGAGAAGGGTCGCAGACGTGTGTAGTTTTGAGTTTCACGTTGTTGTACTAGGTATTGTCAGGGTCGCCGTTATTAATTAAAACGGGAGAAACTGTTGTGGCGAAACAGTAGCAAGGGGGGAAGTGAGGTGGTTGAAATGGTAGGCGTAAAATAGGTCTGAGAGCGTGGAGCGCACGGTGAAGGGTTGACGGTTCGTGTGCATTGAATGAATGAGAGCGTTTGGGAGTCAGGGATCAGATAGTACTGAAAGAGTAATGGGAAAGGTGGGATAAAAAAATAATATTACTTAGAAATTTCTCAGAGATGCTTGATAATGAAAGAAAGAAAGGTATTTTTGGGGAAATCCAGTCTCGATATGTTTCTCCTGTTTGTCTTTAGTTGCCATCGTTACAGCACCAGGTTTTTTGATTACAAGGAATTGCAGACCATCTCTTACTTCCTACTGACAAGTTCCTGCTCCTTTTTACTAGCTATATCCACAAACCTGATGTAGCTGTTCTTTCATAATGTATGCCAGTCATTTTCTCCAGATGATCTAGTGGCCTCTCATCTCAGAATGACATACACAGTTCTTAGTCTGCATGATTTGACTTAGGTTGTCTCTTACCGTTTGATATACTGCCCCTAACTAATTACTCTTTGTTTTTAGCCGTATTAGAATCCTTGGTTTAACAACATATCAGACGTCCTCTGGGTACTTGGGTCTCTGTGCTTGCTGCCTTTTCTTCACTGTTTGATTTATTACCCTACTTTTTTTTTTCCCTCCTCAACACTTCTCAGACCATCTGACATACATTTGCTGTGTGTCTTTCAGCGAATTTTATGGAATGGAAGTTGCGTTAAAATACAGACTGCTGTATCCCCAATGCCTATAGTAGAGCGGGTCTTTCACAGGTATTTAAGTAAATGAATGAAGGAACCTGGACTTGGGACCAAGAAGACCCGCTTCTTGATGCTGTTGTAGGCCCTAGACAATTAGTGCCCTTATCCCCTGCCAAAGCAGTTAAGGAAGTCACCTTTATTTGTTGAGCAGGAAGTAGATTGGTTCAAGCAGTGTTGTCCAAGGAAGAAGCACTATTAGATTTGGAGCAAAGTATCACCACTGCTTACAAATTGGGGTGGAAATTGGATTTCTCTGTTCAAGTACTGGATAATTCCAAGTGGGAAATGTTATTTTTCAACACATATCACAAATACTGTTTAGGTTCTAAAGTCCTTTTGCTATTATAGATCAGCTATATCATGATTAAGAAGTCTTCTGAGTAATATGGAAATCTACCTGTCCAATTCAATTCAAAGAACAGTTGTGTTCTGTTATGTTGCAGTAATCCTCTAGGTGTTGAGGATGTAAGGGATCATAAATTCCTGCCTTAAAAGTACCGTTTCAGGGGAAATCAGACATTAAACATAGGATGTTAAGACAGTGTATTGTATATTATTAAAAAGTAGTTATCAAGCTCACAGTCTAATTTGGAAATGGTAAATCCATGTCCTGTGGCATCCAGTTTAGGTATTGCTTTATTTTACTTCACATGTGTTATTCATTTTATATTATTATTGTGGTTTAACTTGTCTCTATCCTTAACAGATGAACATTTCTCAAATGCTGGACTGTGTTTATCTTTATTTTTGTAGGGTTTTCCCTAAGTGGCATTGCATCTAGACCTTAGAAGGGTGAATTGTTTTCTAGGGAGGTGAAGAGGATAATTTTCTCAGACTGGGAAAAGCACATACAGTGACATGCAGTTCCTTAAATTCATTGTCCTGTATTGGACAGAGTGAATCATCTGCTGTGGCTCTAACTCTTCAGAGAAGTGACCAGAAGTGAAACTGAGAATAAAGGTTAAAGCCAGACTATAAAGGGCTATGTGCTGTATGGGGGAAATCAGATTCTCTATTTGTAAGTAGCAGAAAGCTATTGAGAACTTTTAAGCCACAGAGTGTCAAACTTTTATAAATATTACTACTGGCTGTATTGTGACCACCATAGAATGCTCAAACAGTTAGGCAATTGTGAAACTCTATGTTGGGGCCTGACTAGGGCAGGATAGTGAAGACAGAGAAGAGCTCCATTTGGAATGTTTTTCAGACAGAAAAGTACTCAATTTTCTGATCAGCTAACCTCAACATAAGCTTGTAACACCATAAACATTGAGCATGTTATACTCTTAGAAGAATTAGATATAATAATAATAATGATTGTAGTTTCTTTGAGCTTTACATTTTGCTAGGTACTGCTGTAAGTTCCTTATGTGTATCACTTTAGTTTTGACAAGAGCCCTGGATAATGTTCAATTTCATCTTCATTTTATAGTAGAAGAAATTGAGACATAGTTTATATCTTGCCCACTTTGCTGCATAGGCTGATAAGCAAGTTGTTAAATAACACAACCCCTATTGAAGCTTGGTTCTAAGCCTGCATTCTTTTTTTTTTTTAATCATTTTTGTTGTTTTTATCTATTCATTTTTTTGTATTTCCAACACTTATTTATTTATTTTTAAAATTTTATTACGTTGTACTGGAGGTACATAGTGATATTTACAAAAGTGTTTACACTATATCTTACTTAAATTCACCCCTCCATCATTCTCCTTTATCCCCTTCCGCCCATCTTTAGAACAGTTTCATCAAGTCTCATTTCTCCATTTTCATACATGAGTACATAATATTTCTACCCTATTCACCCTCCTTCACCCTTTCTTTACATCCTCCCTCCTCCCACTGGTATCAGCCCCCAGATCTGTTTTACCTTCCTGTCCTTCATTTAAAAAAAAAAAAAAGACATTTTTGTTTGTTTAAAATTGCTATACAGGGAGTTTCATTATGACATTTCCATGTATATATGTATTATATCCCAAATTGGTTTATTCCCTCCATTTTTTTTCCTTTCTGCCTTGGTCCCCTTCTTAATGGTGATTTCAACAGGTTTAAATATTCAGTATTCATTCTTATATAGAAAGTACATCAACCATATTCATCTTCATCACTTCTTTTACCCTCTCCCTTCTGTCGGTGCCTTCCCCTTAGTGTGACCTGTTTTTCACTCTTGTCCCTCATTGTTTAGGAATCTGTTCATTGTTGAGCGGGATTTTCACCTTAGTATTATACCTGTATATGCGTTGTGCTTAAGTCAATGTAACCCCCATCGCTGTACTTCTTCATTCTTTTCCCCCATCCTGTGTTGTTCATCAGTTTTCAGTGTGTTTCTTGTGTCTTGTTTCTACACAGATGTAATGTACTTCATTATTCACTGTCGTTCTTTCCTTCTTTTCCTCCTCCCTTGTTCTCCTCTACCAGTCCCACTTTTTGGGTACATGTTCTGTATATATTTGTATGTATATATCATATTGCTAAGCCCGCACTATTGACAACTACCCTGAAGAACCAGGAATGCATAGATCATCAAAAAACAAACAGCAACAACAAAAAACTATCCAAAAAGTGAAAGGGTAGGGCCTTAGAATGTAAAAAAAAGAAAAGATTAGGAAGAAGGAGTCCTTGATATTGAAAGAAGCTTTTCTCCCACTCAGGGATGTTCTATCACTAAGGGATGTTTTTACAGTCATATTTCTGTAGCACTCCTTCCAGTGTTTATAACCTTACCCCCCAGCCCTCCAAGGCTGTCCCTCTCTCTCCTCCTGCCACCAAGTCCATATTTGTGGAAACAAATTCCCATGTTTGTTCAATTGTGCAACAGGCACCTGTGTTTTTACTACCTCTTGGAGTGACTTTGCACTATTTTTTTGAGATGGGATCTCCCTACATTCCCTGGGTTAGTTTTGAACTCATAACTCAAGTGATCCTCCCATCTTCCTTCCATCTCAGCTTCTGAGTAGCTGAAAGTTGGAGCATTCCTAATGTAAGAATATGTAATGCAAAATACTTCAAAATCTGAAATTTTTTGACTGTCACAAGTGGAGAATTCCACAGTTGACTCTTATGATAGGTCACTATCAAAACACAAGTACACGGAAAAACAAAGTATAAAATTTGAATAAATATAAAATTTGATACTTATCCTTTGTAATAGTGCTGTGTAGGATTGTTGTGAAGTTGTTTTTTTCTTAAACTCAGGTGCTGTACCGCTTGAACCACACCTCCAATCTGTTTTTTTCTGGTTATTTTGGAGATGGGGGGTGGGTCTCACAAAGCTGTTTGCCTGGGCTAGCTTTGAACTGCGATTCTCTCAATTTCAGCCTCCCAAGTAGTTAGGATTACAGGCGGGAGCAATCAGTGCTCTGCTCAATGTGAAGATTAAATGAGGTCATACAGCATCTAATGTTTGGCACACTTGTACTCACTCATAAATATTAGTATTAATGATGAAGATTTCCCTCCTGTTCCAACAAAACTGTTAGCGTCATCTCTTTGTTGCCAAATAAGCTCTGTCTTCTAGTAACCCTGTAAGGAAGACTATGCATTTCTGTTTATAGTTGAGAAAACAAACTGGGAAATAATATTTCCATTATACCATAATGCCTTCCAGTACAAAGCTATCACATCTGTGGATATAAGATGTTACCTGTTTCTCCTCCTTCTGTACTCAGTAATTTAACCATCTGATTATATCTTTGTGGTAAATATCAGGATTAATGGTAATGATTTTGACAGCTCTTGATTATGTCTGCTTAGTTGTTCTATAGACATGTTAAACTTGTTATTTGTAAAACTGAAATCATGATTTCTTTTTCCCAAGGCTGCCTCTCTAAGAATGACACTGCCATCTGCCTGTTGTCCACTGGAAACAATGTCATCCTTTATTCTTACCTTTGCTTCCACATCTGTTTAGTTTAATTCATGCGTTTCTTCTCTTGCTACCACCTTTGTTCTTGCCTACTTCTCTTTTGCTTATCT